ATACAAACAAAATACAAAATTTTGAGAACTTTGACGAAAAATGATCTCTTTCGTTAAGGTTTAATCAAGCATCGTGGCTTAGTAATTTCATGCTCTTCTCTTGATACTATTCAAAGCATTAAAAAAGAAAACTGAACTTTTGGATATATATTTTTTTTTATACAGTTCGATGCGATCTATTAAATACCCTACACTAGCATGCAGTTATTCATATAACTAGTTTTGAAAATAAGGTTCTTCTTCATTTTTAGTAGCATTCGAGTTTGTGATAAAATCCGTTGGTGTACCAGATTTCATAAAAATATCTAAATAATTGCCGTCTGTAGATTGAACAAAGGGAAACAAGACGGACAGTCTAGCTTAGAATTACTTAGAAAATCATTCAAAATCAACTGCTATAATAGAGGGTTGATCTTTATCCTTCTGGCTGTTGCAGATATTCGCATAAACATAATATACTTTTATACCACAAGTGGTAAAGGGTAAAATAAATGAACTTTTTTATAAACCATTTGCACTTATGCTTAAGACAGAATGGAGAAATTTCGGTCTTTCTGACCTTTTTCATTCCTCACTCTCACGAAACGACCTCGTGTGTATGCCTATGGAAAACAAAGCTTGTCAACAATGTGATCTAAGGTCATTAAATAAGACGTCAGTCATACCGTGTACTTTTATTTTTCAGATTTGGTTGCCAAATCATCGTGGAAGAACACACAATTGTACAACACGTGTAGAAGTTACTAAAATTTCTTACAGAAATAACGAGTCTGTTCGGGCTATGGTTCGGGCATGTGGGATGTGGCTTATCTAATATTCGTTTAAATGCCTTCGTAGGTAACGGAAATTGGTCCTTTGAAATAAACGATGTGCACCAAAATTATCTTTGGGCATGATCTGTGGGACGATAATATCAGATTTGTAAATGAAAATGATGTTGCAGTTACCGTCAATGGGGAAAGGGGCAGAAGCGTGATTGCTAATTTTTGTTTGGCATAAATTAGAAGATGACGACCTGGCTGATATATAGTTTCAAAACGATAGTGCCACAAGGCACACAATATGCCCCGCATTGGCATTATCGCGCGTTTAGCACTTCCGTCGTGTAATATTACGTGTTGATGACGAGAATTGGCCGTCAAGATTGTGCGGTTTCTCAGTGCTGGACTTCTTTTGGTGGGGTTCCGCAAAGAATTAAGTTCATGCGAATAATCCTCAAACTCTTGACACTTTGAACGTCTTCCAAATTATGACCGAGCTATTGTCCGCTATGTGCAGACAAATCATCGGAAATTGCCTGAAAAGGATCCAAACCTGTAACACGTCCTGTCGAAAAACATTTGAACTATGTTATATTCCACAAACAATGTTCCGGAATCACAAAATGGATGAGTGTATATTTGATGACTCAAATGAAATATTAGGTCACACTTTAACATCTTTTATTGTTGCGTTTGTAAGGAAGCACGACAAGACATCGAGAAATATTGGCAGAACCTTTCCAAATGGTCGTTCTTTTCTTGACTGCTTTTTTTGAGATATCTTCTTGAAATTGAAATTACTAGACTCAACGCATAACGTAACGTATTTCGTCTCTCTTGCTTTCAAGTCCAAGAGTTAAATTATAGTAATAATAATACTCTTTTTCTCTTCTGGGCTTTTTTGTAGACATCAAATGTCGACGTATTCCGTCAGCCACCCTTGGAAACTATACCAACTTCGCATTAGGAATGTCGTTAAGCTGCGCTACTGTTACGGTCGCTAAAATCGGAAAACAATAGATGTAATGAAAATAAAATGAAACTTAAGGTCTGGTTACCGCGTCCTGGTTAACCCAAAAATGTTAACACGGAAGACAGAAGTTTAACATCAGAAGAGAATATCTTCTAGGCCAAGAGGAGAATATTGGAAGAATATAAGAAAGGTCGAAAGCCATCGCTTCTATATGAAAATGCTGATAATGAAGCAGGCCTATTGGCAACCTGGCAGGAACTTGGCCGATCCGTAACAGAGGTTTTAGGGAAAATTCGAAAAGTGTATGCCATCGCTGTGTGGTTTTAATTAAATAAAATAATGCTGAAAATCCAAATTCGATAGGCAGTTGTACATGTATTCTTAGTCAGAAATTTGTAATCATTGACTTTCAGCGATTTTTCTTTCTAATAGTCTATCTGATATCGAAACTTTTGGTATTATAAAACTGAACACCGTCGGTTGAAATTGAACGCGGGATATTCTCTTTTTTGCTAAGGTTTCAACGTATACTTAACGGGAATATAATAAGCAATTCTTAGAAACCAGAAATCGTTCGGACAAACTTGTAGATAATAGAAGTACAGTATTAGTAGTAGTAGTTAAAGCAGTTTAATGTTAAAAATTGACGCGGTAATAGCTAAAAACAATTGAAACGATCTTTAATCTTAACTACTCTCACTGAACAAAGATTTATAAAAGCCGTTTGATTTACTGACGCTGCTGTGGTGCTCTTCTAATCTTCATTTATCCAATCTTTGTTCTTGCAATTCTTACTCTAGTCTCAATTTTCCACTCTTCGATCTTTCTTAGCATTTTTTATGGTCCTATTCTCTTCGGAACTTTCATGGCTATCGTCCCATCGTCCAATCATCCCTATACATTTCTGGGTCTTCTGACAATATCTTGTGCAATTCTGTCAAATATTCTTGCTTATCGTTTGCTTGCTTGCTTGCCTGCTTGTCAATCAACTGATGTCTGTTGTAGTTCGAAAGTTATTGAAAGATCGCCGTAGGCCGAAGCTTAGGCTATCTCTTGTAGTTTTAGCTACTTTAGACATTACAATGACGACCTTGAGAATTTAATTATTTCGATGCTTCATGAATATATGAACAAGTTAAAGAAACGCTGATTAAGCTGATGCGTTTTCTTGAACGCTACCAATCGAATTACAAAGTCAGCACAAATCTCTTCACTATCGATAATTTTATTCAAAATGAAATATCAACCTTAAGTACCTTACATCAATCTGCAACTGCTGATAATAACGACTTTTTAAACTGAGGCGTTCAAATGGAAGGGGTCAAAAAAGTGTGTCCATCCGAACCATTTGCGATAGTGCCCGTCCTTGAGAGAAAACACGTCTGTGTTCTCAAAAATTTCAGGCTGCAAGTTGATCGGACTAAAACAAGACGGATAGACAAGCTTAGATCGATACAAAGAATTATTTATAAACTGATTCTGAATCTGGCCTTATAACAAAATGTAAATCCATGTTAAGTCCTTTTGACCGTTGCATATGTCCACTCAAACTTAGTATACCCTGGTACCATAAGCCTTGTAGGGCTTAATGAATAGATTACTTAATAGCTAAAGTTTAATAAACTTTTTACTTCTTACCGTGCATATATGTATGTATTTTTTTGCATAACATAACATATACAAATATTTTAAGTGGTTAAAAGCATTGTTTTTGCTGAAGTCGTGATCGAAAAGGTGTCGTCTTATTCGAAAATTACTTTAAAAATTTAAGGTAAAAATTCTTGGTATTTTATGGTAATTAAAATACTCTCTTGCACCTAAAGAATGAGCAAACGAAACTGAACTTGAACTGAATGTTTTCTAAGATAAGCAGCAGAGCTCTGTTTTAGAAGGCGTATCTAAGCACATGTACAATAAGTGAACGGCTAGCTGGTTAGTTACTTACAGCGTGTAGCGTGCCAGAATTCCAGGAAAGAATATGATTCTTTGCGAACTCTTCCTAGAATTCAAATGACAAATATCCGTTTGGCAGATAACTGAAAATGTCATTTGGTAACAACGACATCTGGCTTTTAGTTTCAGATCTTGAGAGAAAGTATAGATTACATTGTCTCTTTTTCGCTGGATTTTTAATTTCAGAATATAGTGCATGAAGACGAGAAAGAAACGCACAAGAAGCTACACATTGGCTTACGTTTTTGGGAAGTTTATCTAGAGAAAAAACAACCCACCCCAAAGGATAGCACGTTTTCCTTATCTCATTTAGGTGAATTTTTTATGAAACATTTACATTGGTGTTTCGATTTGTACATGGTTTGCTTTCTTGTTTCTTCTTAATTACCTATCAAAGAAGGACACTGTTAAGCTGTAATTAGCAGCGTAGAATACGCATTGCATGTTGCATCGAATTTATATTGTTTTAAACATATATATATCTCAAAACGCTAAAACCGAAAAAAACTGAAATTAAGCATAGAATCGACTGATGTTCACAAAGCCCCTTTAAAGCTAAACGCTAATTAATTGCCAAAGTCAATACACAGCTCTTTTTTACACCATATTGAAATAATGCGGTTTATTAATAAGAATGCCAGGAGGAATGCCAAAAAATAAATTTTTTTAATTCTTATTTTGAAAATGTCGTACAGAAACTTACGCGTACAGCTGCAAACGGCAATTGGAGAAAATGCAAATGGAGAAGACCTAAAAGTTGATAAACATATTAAAGTATTTTTGAATTGATTGATTGCGGAATTGGTTTTCATTCCCAATTTCACGTCAGATTTTTATATGGTGTGCTTACGAACTGAATTTTCACTCGAAAATTTCCTTTTTTGGAATAAAAATGAATTGTTCTTACATAATAAGGATTTCATTATTGCTTTTTTGCACGGTTTATATTTTTTTCATCGTACACAACTTATCACATGCCACATGTATTTTTTTATACGATCTTTTCTGCACAGCTCTCGAAGGAATGTATCTACCATATGATATCTATGATACGTGACCTTTTATGCTAAAGATCTGCAATTTGATTTAAATATTCACCGAAGGTCTTGTTTGGCTCAGTGGGAAGCAAAAGAAATTTTACATTCATTAGAGTTTTTATTAAAATAAGTCGAAAAATCAATTATCTTTCTATACATTAGAAACTTAAAAGTCCACATGGACTTTCTGCATTTGCTTACATATAAAAGAAATTTAAAATCTGATAATAACTAATATATATTTCTTATTAGAAAATTGATTGTATTTAAACTTACATATAAATTCATTAGATCCTTGAGAATCATTGCTGCTAATAGCGCCATTATCACCGTTCAATTCGTTCAAATTCGTTGTAATACTTATTGAAGAACACTTGAAGCCGTCATTGAAATATACATGATCCGAGGCTGGCGGTAGTTTCATTGTCATCGTTTTTCTTAAAACATTTACTTATTACTAATGGAAAATTTTATATATATATATATATATATATATATATATTTGTTGTTGTTTCGATGGCGCGTTATTCTTTAAACAATAAATTTATCAACGAAAAGTTTCACTTACAAACACAACCTTTTTTCTCTTTTATACGTTATATCAATTTGCTTTTATCTTGAGTTTTTTTTTGGTTGTTGTTTAAAATGGCAAAGGTTTTTGCTTTCTAGTTTAGTTCTTACAATAAATTCCAAAATCGATTTACAAATTGAGTTATCTTTTCAAAAGCAACTAGTTTTTCTATTCCTTTTATAGCTGGGGTAAGAACAAAGTTTATTGTAATCAATTAAACGTTTATTTTCTTCTTATTTATTTATTTTTTTTTTTCCTAATTTCCCACGGTAAAGGAAATCAAAGCAAGCCGTTGTTGCTGTTTCATATACGAAGAATAAAAACGAAAAAAAAAAAAAACAGAAAAATAACAGTTATTTAACAATGCACAGGAGAGCGCTCGTTTTTCGTGCTCTAAGTTATTGTAGAAAAATAAAAGCACTGTTTTCCTGTTTCACTTCCACTTGTTCCTATACTTCGTTGATAATAATATTTTTCTCAGCGGATATGTAAAATATTGCTTTATTATAACAAATAAAAATATTTACTCCTATAGCCTTATAGAGTGCACCTCCTCATCGCAACACTTTCAAGTTTCATTAGCAACTGTTTTTAAACTTGGCTCAAACCTTGTCTTTTATAATATCAAAGAGCATGAGAAGTTGTTTGCATGCTTTAGTTTAAAATGAAATGAAAATAAAACAAAAGCAAAAAAATTTACACTTGAACTCTAATAACACAATAAATTATACGAATGCATATATATTCCCGTTTTATCTCTACGACAAAATGATCGTGATCTGCGTTTAGTTATTCGGTAGATATTAAATCGCTCTCATTTTAATGCAAACTAAGCAATAGTAAAACTCATTTCATTGCCGGTTTTGTTATTGCGTTTTACTCTCCCGTTATCTTTTTTTTTTTTACTCATTCATATGTAAATTCTCTACATGTGGGGGAGTAATTACGTTTGATGTGAGATGTCGTGCTTTATGTAGTAGTGGTAGTGAAGTAAGTGTAAGTTGAAACAATTTCTCAAATATTTTATTACTTCGCTAAGATTATTTCCGGAGCCATTTTACCGAATTCTTAAAATTTTTTTTTTCGTCATTTTTTCGCATTATTCAGAATTAATGTTTATTTAATAGCAAATTAAATGTTTATATATTGGTTTTTAATTCTTTTAAATTCATTGACTAGAACTCATAACAAATTTTTACGTCATTATATTCACTTGAATTCATTTTATAAATTTTATATTAATGTTTATAATTAATTATTCGTCACAATTTTTATATGAATGAATTGTTATTAACACGCATATGATTTGAAGGAATTATGACAGCCATGACAATTTAAACGTTATGGTGAATTTGGCGTAAGATATGCTTACTACATGGTTAAAATGAAATTACGATTAGTTAATTATAAGATAAATTGTTGGAAGTTTTAAAGTGTGCGTAATCCAATTCATAAGCATTAAAGGTATCTTAAAGTACTTTCATTAACGATACCGACTATATTAGGCCCGGAACACATCTCTGTCTTCGACGTTGTTTTCTTTGATATAATGTTTCAGGGTTTTTAAAGTGTTTCGCAAATTTCTTCACTCGCTGCTTTTCGAAATATACCAGAAGCGTAATTCCCTATCCTTACTACGCTTTACTATAAATTAGTTACCGGCCAAAAATCATTGAAATAAAAGGGTAATGAACCGTCAGTCATTACAATTATCACGTAATTAAAAAACCATTAATGGATAATGGCAGGATAACTTTGCTGGCCTATTAGGGTTCTTAAGAAATCATGTAACTGATATAGAGTCTCTGCAGTAAATTAACAATAAATTCTCTCCCTGTGTTCCTTTGTTAAATTTTAAAGGTTGTCATGAAATATTATAGCAGCAGAAGGCACGAACTTTTCAAGTAAAGTAGATTCATTAGGTTTTTCCTTATTTGCGTTTGTATCGTTTTAGGTAATCGGTTTAACGATTCGGTTTCGGTTTTCTTTCTTTCTTTTTGGTTTTTTGATCATTTTTTGTTGATTTTACTTTCTGTTTTATAAACTTAATATCTTTGTCTTTGGCCTAATGAATCTACGCTGCTCCACCATTCTTATCGAAAAAAAGGAAAGTAAATAAAACAAGTAAGGTGGCTGTAGCATGTCGTGTGGCCCGCCATAAAATACCCTAAACCGCTCTGCAGTTAGCTACTTTCATTTTCAATAGCGTTCGTCCTTCGACCAAAACACCTCAGTGTACCAAACCGGCTTGTAAATTGAACACGAAAATACATGGACAGTCACAAGACGGGCAGCCGAGCTTAGAAGGACTCAGAAAACTATCGCGAATCGATCGGTATAATAAAAGATAGGTCCTTCTAGGTGTTGCGTCTATCCGCACAAAGTTCATATACCCTCCGCCAAAAGTAATGTACGGTATTTTTATATCCATAGTATATAAGGAGTTTTGAGAAAAAGTTGAGATTTGTTTGGCGAGTTTTTTTACAAATTGGTTTTTTTGTCTTTAAATGTGAAAATTTGGAAATTTTGCCATTTCCTTTTTTTAATATCAAGAATTATTTTGCATCTACCATATATTGGGCTAAACTGACATCTTCGATCAAATTGGGGATTGTGTTTGTTTAGGTCAATCAAGAATCATTAAGAATTTAAAAGATTCATAACATTCCTCAAAATGTCCAGATGTTGATATCAAAAAGTAGCTAAAATGTCAAAATTGTTCTCATCTCAGATCATAATCTTTTAAGAAGTAATTAACTTGAAGTATAAACCAATAAATGTCAAAAATGAAACCGAACTCTTCCTAGAGATCAACAATTGAACTTTTCAAGTACTTTTTAATTTTCTTCGCTTGTAAATACATCTAACAACGATCTTTGTTCGAACTTTCTTAATTTATTAACAACGAATAAGAAGAAAAGCATCGATTAGATGTAAGGCGTGTGAGAGTTGCTCTGAATAAAATGTTGACTTATGACCTATAGTGGATTAAGGTTTAAACATATGTCCACGACAGATTTATAGCTTAATTAATCTGGGATGGAAAGTTTTTCACTTCCAAACTCTTAATCAGGCAAGGCAAATTGCCGCATGGAAAACAGCTAACAAAATTTTAAATTTAATTTGTTTCGTCATCGAAATTGTGTTGCAATAAGTAATTTAAATTTTCTTCGCGATACAATAAACTGATGCTATAGCAATTGTTTTGTTTTTTTAATAATAATTAAGGAAAAATGTAATGCGAATAAAAAGCCCATTAAAAATGAATTAGTGTTTATTGCGCGAAATTTCCACAAATAATACGAAAAAAAAAGAAAATTACATTTCACTTAAGCAGACACTGCCAATGTCTGTCATATATGTTATCATATATAAAAATGTAAGAAAATTATACCCGGTTGTGACCGAAATTTTTATACCCATTATTGTTATGCTAACAAAGACAAAAGAAGTAAAAGAACTAAGTTTTCACGCTCTGTAATGTGGAGTAGGCGGGGCTTTCTATTTTCGTAGGCGTTTCCTTGGAAAAGTTAGAGTCACTTTGCAACTGCTTTGCAAGTTTGTACGCGATATCTCCATTTTTGCTGACGGGAGAATGTGTACTGCAAATACTACACAGTTGGACAAAGGAGCAGAGAGAAGTGTTTTATAAAATTTTGATGCACTATAATATTGTGTAGGCGTGGTCTATGTTTTCGAATTTTGTACAGGCGCTACGCCATCGCCCATAGAAAAGCAAAAACTTACGATTTTTAAGAAGTGGTGCAGTAGAACTCGTTGATAATATTTCTAAGGGTTTTCTAAAAGGCAGACCATCTATTGACTGATATGTCTATAATCGTAAGAATAGTTTGTAATATTTATTTATGCATTCTTTAGATGCGGTCAATATTAATCCAAGATTCTAACCTAAGCAGGGATAAAATTGGTGATGATGCTTTTAAGCGTTTCATATATATGCAAAGAATGGACAGAGGTAACTGACAGACGTGCTTGTCTAGATTTGTTGAGGACGTCGTGCTGATCGCCTTTTCTGGGCGGCTATTTATGCTCAGAACTGGATCAATGAAGTCTTCTTTCGGCTTATCCTTATCTTGGTCTTTGAGACGTTAGATTATGGCATAACTTGTGCAATTCTTTACCTCTCCTCGTCTCCACCTCACTTTCTCCCTCGCTTTTAGATATGTTTCTAAGATTTAGTTGAACTTTAAAACTAATTTTGTACGGAATACAAGTTCTAAGTTCATACGAGTTCAACATTGAATCAATCATAAGTTAGTGTTTAATTAAATGCCAAAGGAGCTGTTCTTAGCTGTTTTTTAATATATAATTTTTAACAAACTCCTTAACCCAATTTATTATTTCAGCACGCAACGTAAACTTCCATAAGTTGTTATAGTACAACTTATATATGTGCAGTTATGCACCTTGATTTGTTTATAGTACATATTATTGTTACAATTGTTTAATTCACGTGCATACATGTAACAGGTTGTAAATGGATCTAAATTTATTACTAAGTACATTGAACTTTTTTTTCTTTTTTTTAATTTGAAATGCTAATGGTACAAGTTCCATGCGAGAATAAAAAACAGAAGCGAACATAGCACGCATCGCAGTATATGGTTCACAGGTTCACCACAAAACTGGTATTGGTATTGTAATGTGTAAAAATGATAATAATAATATGGTAATAACAACAAAAGGATGATGTTAAGGTTATAAATACAACATATTTATGTGAAGGTCAATATACGTAAATAATTGTAAGCCCTAAATTACAAAATAAATAAAATTATTTTTCATATTTACAGACAAAAACTGGAATCCCTACAAGTTAGCTAGTCGAGCCGGTATTATCTCATATCGAGAGATTTTCAAAATATTAACGTACGACTAACTCAAAAATCAAAACTATTTAAATATTTTGTTTTTAAGTGATTCCTCATGGCTTATTCATCTTAGCGTTAAGCAGTGTATTATATTCGGTATAAATAGCATCTTTGATACCCTTCAACTGTTTCCTACCGATAGTTTTCTTTAATATGTTGCAAAAATAAGCAGATAATACAATCATTGATAGCTTAGAGGAGGTCAAGCCAAATTTTAATATATAACATATATATACATACATATAGGTGTATATATATAGAGAAAAAAAAGTTTGGCAAGTGACGGTTTACGGCTAGTAAAAACGGAACATTATATAAGGGAGAGCAAATTTCGTAGAATTTTCATACAATTTTTGCCCTCTAGACGATCTAATATCACTCCGTTCTTTTTTTTGGGGTTATGTGAAGAGAAAAGTCTATGCCAACAATTTTACAACCACTCACCACGAATTCAACACTGCATTAACGAAATTCAGCCACAGTTATGCAAAATGATTATAGAAAATTTCGACAAAAGAGTCCTTGTGTGCCAGTAAAGCTGTGGAAGCCACTTGTCCGATATACTATTTCATACATAACCCTTTCCTATGAACGTTATGATTTAATAAAATTAAACTGCTTACAAGCAACTCTGTTTTCTATTTAATTTAACGCCTGGTGGCTCGAATATTTTATTAATTGCAACAATGTCAATTGGTTAATAAAGATAGTAATTGAACTGATTTCTACATTACCATAATACCGACAGCCGTATAAAATTCTAGACCACCATCTGCCCTGAACTGTAGATTACAGTTTTCTGCTTTTTGCGGCCGTTAGTGTTGTGGGATTGCACAGCTTTTCGAGCTTGGCGAGAGGTCATCATTTATTGCTAAGTTCACCTTTGCGTCTTAACTTGAAAAAAACAATTCTTAACCGTCCTTGGTTCTCTAATACCAAAGAAAATATCGACCACTTTTGCTGTTGAAGAATTTCGATACTTTACGACGCACACACTTATGATATGCACGGCTCCGCATTACAAACGAAAGAATCAATTCTGCAAACCTTCCTCCTTTCACTGTGAATATATACACATTTAATTTCCTTTTATACCCATCCCCACCGAAAGATAAGAGGTATGTTCATTTTGTTAAAACGTTTGCAAAGCCCAGAAGGAAGCATCAGAGGCCGCCTAAAGTATATATATTCTTGATAAGCATCAAATTCTAAATCAATATTTAAGCATCTCCTTCTGTCCGTCTGTGTGCTGTTTGTTGTAAACATTTTCCTGGCCGCAAAAATGAAGCTATCGACTTCAAGTTTGACAGAGGCAAACGAAGGTCTTGCACACATGTTAGCGACATATCCTTGCAGTCAACGATCAGTGATGCTACGTAGTTTCTAAATGACTTGAAAAAAATGTGTTTTTTTCTGGGATATGGAGTATGAGTGTACTTAGTCAAAAAAATAGATCTTTTTCGAACAACTTTTCAGATCGTACAGGTCTTATCAGAGTCTTTTGCTAATAATAATTTAGAGAATTTGAACAGTGCAAAGCAATATATAAATCTTATTCTTTGAATATAAAAATCGATTGTATAAGTTTTTCATCTAAAATTGGGTTAATTCCAATTTTCTCTTAAAACACATCGATGTGTTATGTTAACTTTTCCATTATGCTTGCAATGCATGGATATCAATTCTTGGTCACGGATATCGACTGACGCGTACTGAGTCGAAATCAGCTATGTCTGTCTGCACTAAGTTGACTCGCCAACGTCCGTCTGTCTAACTAACCGTTGTTAGGGCTTATAGATATTCAGGGCTATTATAATATTTTGAACAGGCTTAGTAAGATCTGTGTAAGCAACGATTGAAAAACTTGTCACGAGGTGCTAAACCGTTTCAGCAACGTCCATCTGTTTAACCATTAGTTGTCACAGTTCTTACTATTCCGGTACTTACAGTAGCAAAGCGAGTCATCAGCATAAGCTTGTGCAACGATCTTTTATGACGGTTCACGGAACACCAAATCTAAAGAAAGACGTATTGTAATCAAAGCGTTATTGTCAATAATTTGCGGTTAATAGCAGACGTTAACGTGGCATTTACCAGAAATGTTAAGAAATTTAAAGACTTTATTTCGAATTGCTGCTGTCCATAAGGTACCTGAGAGTGGCTGCAAACCTTATATAACTTTTTCGTTTCATTTTCACTATGATTTGTCTTTTTTTTTGTTTTTTGTTTACACTTAACGCCTACACAAAAAATTCTCAAGGCATTCTTCATTTCCATAATATATTTTCGGACTTTTAAAAGAAACCTGAAATTCTGCCTCAAACCGCCCCTCAAAAAAAAAAAAAAAACAATCTTATTAACATAGCAGCCAATCATATGCATTCCATTCAAATCTTGAGAATTTTACTGATAATATTAAACTTGAAACTGTAGTTCATTTGTTTTCATCTCTAAATTATTAATTTATGAAATTTATGGCCATTAATTTTTAGTAACAAAGGAAAAGGGAAAAAAAGAAATGAAAAACTAGAGTAAGCCAAAAAGCAACTGCTTTCGTCTTGAAGTTAGCTGAAGGCGATTTATCGATCCTCTACCAGCTTAGATCAGCGGCGTCCTCAATAGCAAATATAGAGGTAGGGAGATTGTTATCTTAAATTAGATTTCTCTACGTATTTCTAGTTCCAAGGGAAAATATGTTGAATTTAATCTTAGGAAGATTTGATGAATCTTTTAGCTTGCCTTTGTCCTACACTTTGCTTCCAATGACTTGTTGATTTCTTCTTTTCCCTCGATGATGGTTGTAGGTCCCAGGCCTACCATGGGCCTTCGGGCTTCTCTATTGAATAGACAGCCATTCCATTTATGCCCAGATTCCCAAGTTAGATGCAATCTCATTTCTGCCTTCTTAGCTCATTCAGGCGCTGAAGGCACTCCAGCACAAGCCTAGAGGTGATTGTATGACTTTTCATGGTCTTTAGAACAACTTTATTATCAGAGTGAATGGCAGCATAAGTAAGAATGTTTCTTTTCTTTCTTATTTATTTATATTATAATAAATCACTAGAGTTTTAAATAAAATTAAATTAAGAGCAAGAAATTTTGCTTAGTATGCAGAAAAGTTTACAAAGAATTACTTCCTGCACGAGCACTACATATAACGTTCAAAATAATTTGCATAAACTTATGAATTTTTGTCTCTTTCTGTTAAAGCACTGTTTAAAGTTTAATGAAACTATAAAATAATTTGACATTTTAAATATTTTACATTCGTACGCAATCATGTTTTTTTATAAATCATTTTGGATTAAAATTCGTATTTAATCAAAGTCATTCGCTTAGGTTAATAATAGTAATAATAGTTTTTTTTTCTTTGCTTTTTTATGCTTAATACCGGAAGATACATGTATACACTCTTAAACGATCCATTTATAACACTTGCTTTTACGCCTCGCTCGCACTCACTTTTTATACTCAAAAAAGTCAACGAATACGGTGCTCATAGTTGCTCATATACCAAATTATTCGCAATCGGCGGAGTGACTTAAATGTGAAAAAAATCATTTTTGGAACTGTATGTAAGATTGTACTTAAAAGTAGTGCTTCCTTATCTATCAGCTCTGCTTAAAGATAAATAAAAATTTCTCAGAAAAGTTTGACTTCATTTTCCAGGAGTATCGTTCCTCTTTTTCACCTAGATCTACGGAGTGGAATCAAGAATGTGGAATATGTATGAGATATCAAAGATAAATACAACACATAAGAAAGTTTTTGGTTTATTCTTTCAGGAAAGAGTTGCAATCTCTGCTTAAAAAGAAGCGTTTTTCCGGCGGTTAATTTCCTTTTTATTGGCGTCTTAGAGAATGCCTTGGCCGCGTTCTTCGCACAGCCTGGTGCGGCATTGTTATGCCTAAAATCGTAAAATGCGTTTTAGAAAGAGAAGAAACTCACGCGAAGTACGCTTGCGCGGATATCTCCCCTCGTGGATGCCATAACTCTAAGTTGTCGAAATAAACTTTTTCTTCGAAATCTTCCAGTTTTCACTCAATCGTGTCAGATTTCCTAGCAGGCTTGGTATCATAAGAAGACTTTTTTCTCAATTTTTTATCAATTTGCTTAAAAAAATTTGCCCTTGGAAGCAAATTTAAATTATTTATCCATAGTAAGTGACGAAAAACACATTTGAGTGCGAACAATACAAAGTTATGGTGTAAAAAAACTAAATTATCTTCTGGTTTAGCTTGCAGGGGGAACATCTGATACTTTCTTGACAATTTATTCAGAACATCTATATCAAGCTTTCATACTCAGATCCGCTTCGTTATTCTAATTGAGGACGTAACACATTACCCAGGCATTTTCGATTATAATAAATGGAATGAAGAAAGTAATATACCGCCACACCCTGGAGTTGATGTAATAATAATTAAAAATGTATTTCATGTATAATAAAAATATAAAAAAAAAAACTTGTGTGAGCGCCATTTCGATAACAAGAGACGGGTGTTGTTAAAATAATATTAAAAATAAATAGTGCTTTATATATATTAAAAATTTATTAATGCATGTGCTTGGTTAAATATATCGATTGTACCGGTCAAAGCAGAAGAAAAAATCTTTTTTTTTAATCAAATATTTTACACAGAAAAGTTAATGTGATGAGTTGGCTTTGAAGGCGTTTCCTTTATATAAATAAATGCTTTTGTTAAAAATTATTTATGGCATTTATTTCGTTCGTTCGACTAACGGATTTTATTGATTTTATTACTGATAACTTATACCCGTCAGATCAGCAGATGAATGTAACGGTTTATAATAATAAAATAATTTATAACTACTAAGACAAAAAATAAAAAAAGTAAAGAAGAAGACTAGTCTTTATACTATTTTTATTATCATTATTATTATTATTGTTATTAATTAAACACCAATGCGGTTTTTAAGCATGAGCTATAATTTAAAATTGAAAATTTCCCCAAAATCTGGACATTTCATCGATAGTAAATTCGAGCATGGGCTGCTGTTCGTAATGATAAAACGTAATTTTTTAAAAGTTTGCTACACTTTCCTATTAATTTTTGTGCAATAAAACGCAAACGTATTTTGCTCAGATGTTCTGATTTGAAATTTTCTGTTTTTCACGTTCGAGTAAGGAATAATTTTTTAAGTGATTGATTATTGATTTTTATTTTCTTTTCAAATGTACTCTAAATTGTTTAATATTTTTCTTAACTCGTGCTTGCATTTTAATTTTGCTTTTGTTATATTATTTTTTCTGTGCGCAGTCATATAACAATTTTTATTCTATGGCATAAAATTTTAAAAAGCCGTAAACAAAGGCGTAAACAAAAACTACAAACCGATATATATAAATAAATTAATAAATAAATAATAATAATAATAACAATAATTAAATGAAGAACACTCTACGAAACTAGCTAAACTTTTCCAAGTCAAAGGTAGTAAATAAGCAAACAAAAAAATAAATAAAAAATAGGTTAAGGCGGTAGATTCAAACTACCAAAGAACAAATTTGAAATTTTTTGAAAGATTTCAATAGAAATTTTTTATTTTTGAATACTACGAATATTATGTAAGGCTTAGTTTGGAAAACTTTCAAAATTGTTTTATATATTTTTACGCGAAGATTCGCACAAAGAGATAAAGTTTGAGCGAAGCACTTTGAGCTTTCAGTTTAGTTTGCCTTGACAAGGTATTAGCATATAACGCGATATCATCAAAAGGTAACTTTTCTTTCACGTGTTTGGCTTTTTAAATACTATTGGAAGTGTGCACGAACTTGTCTCTGAACTTTTAAGTAGAATTAAATGAATATTACAAAAACGACAGCACGAGAAATTTTATTCAAACCAATGTCTATCGCTAAGCATTATTATATCTTCGATCGCCTATGTGGAATTGGAAGATCATGCAAAATGCATAATAGGTTCTTTGAGCTTTTCCATTCAAGCACCACCGTTATCCTCAGTTATCCGCTTATGGGCAGAACGCTGCTCGGAAGGATAACAAGTTTCCGATTGAAGCTAATGTCAATCAGAAAAAGTAATGAAGTAATGACAAGGAGTAAAAAATAGCACTAGGGAGGGTAACCACCATTACAGGTGGCTGTCGTTAACGTGTCCTGGGTGTTTTTTTTTTGTATGGGGCCGTATTACGTCTTGACTTTGGGCATATAGTGTCCATTTTTCGCTCCAAACACATTCAGCTTTATGGTCGATGTTAATGGTTTCTAATGGTTCGCCCAGTGTGCATTAAGATTACTTTTAAGCTTTAAGAGTCGCAACGCATTTATTGTGCATCATTCATAATGATTCAGCAGCACCGTCCTTCGAAAGAGAAATTAACTTCTTTTTTAGCAAAGAATTCGACCTATTCTAGCTTTTGTGCTTTAATCTGTTTTATTTTGTTTTACTTTAACTTGTGCAGGATATGCATATTACAAAATTTTACCCCAATTCGGACAATCTCGTTTAGCACAATTGTAACTTTCAGCAATAACCTATATTATACGTAAACCTCGATTTTTCAAATACCCTAACGTAAGCACAAACAAGTTTACCTGTGAGCAATGGTCAAATGATCAGCAGTCAGTAAGCTAAATACAATAAAATAAATAAAGATTGATAGACTAGTTTATCGTATTTCACTGCGCTACGAAAAGATCCCAAAAACTAGGTTCTACATCCTTTCCAGAACAGCCTATGCTACTATGCTAAAGATCGTGCGTTAAATTGGAATAATCACAATTTCATTCACAACCTTATAGTATTACTTATGGCTACGCTTTGTACACAATGGCAGCTTATTCAAGGTCCCAATAGCTCATCGATCTTAATCTCCGTAACACTCAAGAGTGTTGCATGCATCCTATAACCACTTTTCATCAGCATTGTGAAATTGCTTTTCTTTCTTGCTAAAAGCGAATTTAATTGATTTATATATATAGACATATATTATCTAACTTTAGTCAATTTTATGTGCAAACTAAGCGGTGTGCATGTTGTAGACCGGCTCGTTTTTTTCTTTTAAACTAATCATTTAGGGGGTACGACCCTTGTTCGCACAACTCGGTGATGACGTGATGCCAGAAAGAAGTCATGAAATAGAAAGAACTCTACCGTACGTTAGTAGTCGTTCTAGACAATTTACAATTTTAAATTCGAAATGTTGGAATGCTATTAAAGAATGAAAATAACATAAATAGACGAATGTGGTTAAATTGGTTTGGAGTCTCAGCTAAAGGAAAATAGATTTTTAATTATTTATTTATTCAAGTCGAGTGGTTTATGCAATCCATTATACTGGACTGCAACTACAAGTTCACAAGTCATGAAAGTATATGCCGTACCTTCTCATTGAAATTATGGCATACAAAAAGTTGTATCAATTTAGAGAACAAATATATTTAGGTCTAAATGAGATCAATATTGCTATCAGTAATTACGATACTTCCCTAAAATTTCATAAAGGATGCAAAAAAAAAAACAGCGTTCGATGTACAATTTAGTATAGCACTAAACGGGACTAAGAGCGTCAAATAATATCACTCAGGTTGGTTATCGAGAAGTTTTTTCATAAGCATTGCATTCTTCTCAGCGAGAAATGCTGATACGACTCGTTAAATTCGTTGTATATCATTCGCAAGGATGCATAAAGTTCGATATTTGCGCGACGTTGCGATCTAATGAGCTCTAATGAATCTAATGAGCTCGTAGTGTCTTGAGGTCTATATCGGAATATTGAAGTCTGTATTGCTTAGCAGGAATGCGGATACTATTTTCGCTTCAATAGGCTTTTTAAGGAACATAAGTCTATATCTTCGCCTCGCTAGAGATAGTAGATAAATTAAAAAGAGTCCTATTTTCTTACGAAGGAAACGTTAAGCTTGGATCCCATCGTAGATTACGCAGTGCAATTCAGTGATTCAATCATATCAGTGTGATAACGGTAGCTAGGACACCAAACAACCGCAACATACTCTAAGATTGGGCTCGCTAATGTCATAAACAGCCCCTTGGCTATATATGGATCTTCAAATTTCTTGGACCAACACATAATAAAAAGAAGAGAAGGTTTTGTTTTCCCTATGGAGCTTGAAAGACATTTTCTTACCGAAAATAACACCCACGTCTTCAATTACTGGAACAATCTCAACCATTTGATTGTAAATGAAGTAAGAACTATGCTGTTCAATTAAAATGTAGGCACTTGCCACAACCATATCATTCACTTTACACCATTTCACGAAGGAGAAAAAATCGGACCTAAGGATAGAAGACTCGTTTAAATTTTTAGCTGAATGGAAAAGTTCACGTCGGCCGCATACATAAGTATGTGAGATGCATTGCATAAATAACGGATGGGAGGTGGTTCATAAATAATATAAAAAGGAGGGGACCCAACTGGCTTTTCTAGCATGCCCCGGATCTTAACATGATTTCATCCGAGACAAACACCTTTTGGGTGCGCCTCTTCAAGTTCGATCCAACCCACTTTAAATAGCTTCAATAGTAACAGATCAGACTCTATCAAACGCCTTACTCAAATGCACATAGCAAGCATACGGGGCTCTAGAGAGATATTCCAAAATGTAATGTTTAGAAAAGAAATTCTTTGGCTCGAACTGGCATAAGAAGATGGGTCCGCCTCTTAATCGTTTATTTTTTATAACATAGGAGCACTCTGGAACGTACTTCTCAATATAGGTTACGAAAGGAATTACAGAGTGAAATATATCCGAAATTTTGACAAATGGATAGAGATTGTTAAAAAAAATATATCATTTCATTACGTCCTCTTAACAAATAACGACACGTGACTTTTTCGTGTAATACATTTGCTAACAAAAAAAAATGTGTGCAAATAAAAAAATATAATAATCAGAATAATAATAATAATCAGAAGAAATGACAATAATTTGTCATTAAAGAATCATTAAATGAACAAAAGTGGTTTGTACGATACTCATGTTATTGCAATAACAACAAATGCTTCAATCATTAATGAATAAAATGTAAACGTTTGCAAAATTATCGCTAAAATTTGACGGTTATGATGATAATGAGATCCCGTTTACGTACACACATTGTAAACAATTGCGTTGCATCGCAATCGCATAATAAGTGAATCAATAATTATAGAAACCTTAAGTTGTTCTTTTCTAACAACAACGTTATTAATCGATTTGTAGTCTACTTTGACAGGAATATCAACATTGCTATCAACACTTTAACGTTAACGTAAAAGCAGTCCAATGCAATGAGTATGACTTTTGTGAAAAAATTGAAAAGATTATTAAAATAAATCACTTTCATCTGTACACTTTCAAGAACATCACTGACTGATTGATCGTTACTTCAAAGAATGATTATCTTACCTAAGAAATCAATTTAAAAATGCATTAACTGTAAGAATGTATTCAAAATAGTTTAGTTTTGTGCTAATCGACGGCGTATAA